CCAATTGCCACCGTTTCGCCTCTTTTGCACCTTGTTTCGCTTCCCTTTTCGAAATACAAGGCTATTTCCCAAGACTAAAGATACCAAATTTTAAGTGGCAAGTTGATGTTTTCCTATTCAAATATCTCTCTGTCAACCATACTAGGCCCTGTTAATTTGTTAGCAAAAGAACTATTTGTTTCTCAAAATGTACTTACAATATTTCCTTAAACAATTATGAAGCATCTAGACACATGTCTTCGGACTTATTTCTGTCCTTAAAGCTTGAAATAACTCGAAAGTTGGTGAAATATCAAGAATTTAGGAAGAAATTAGTTTTTAAATAATTTTTTATTAGTTACTTTGTAGAAAATTTTCATTGTTGTCAACATGAAAAAGTGAATAAAAGCTAAGTACTGTTCCAATGTTAGGAATAGCCTTGTATTTCGGCGCTAAAAAACAACAATTCAAAAGAAAATAGAAGAAAGGATGTCCGAATGGTGGCAAAATGGAGAAAAAAGGACTAAAAATAGCTATATATGGACCGTCGTCTGCCACTGGCGACGATAGCAGGCCAGAGCTACAACGACCACCGGTCACTGTTGGCTATTCGTGTGCCAAACTAGATTAAAACCCAATTTGGGTCGGTTTAGAACCGGCTACTTTGGGAAATTTTCTGTATTTGGGATTTTACTCTATAAATAAGGTTTTTCTTAAGCTCCACAGTTTAACGGAAGGCAAAGAGAGCTGTATACTGTGAAAGAGAAATAGAGAGAAATAAAGGGGAATGATCTAGAGTTTGTGAGAGATCTTTTGGTGAGATTAAGAGGGTTTTACGCTAGTTCTTCATCAAGAATGCACAAATAGGTTATCTTGTAATCTTTAGAATAAAAGACGACTCAACTCTCTCCCTATGGACATAGATGATTGCTATATCATATAAATCCAGTGTCTTTGTGCTCTTCATCTATTTTCTATGGTATGTTACTATTCTCTTTAGTTCAAACGGGTTTTCTCGGTGTTTCCACATCTCCCACTGATCGATTGGTTTACAAAGAAGGAGGAGACCTAATCATGGTATCCGGTTATACTTCCACAGGCTGCTCTTTCGCATAGATCGTCAGTTGGTGCTCACCGATCAGTATCGGGTTGCGCGTGGCGTGCGCCAACATCCACTACTTAAAAAATATGTATAACAAAAAATTTATTTTATTACTTTCTACTTTATAATTTTAGAAGTTATCTTTTTTTTTAAATCTATTTCTTAATTCTGATATTTTGACAACTAAATCGACCAAAGTAGATACAAACATTGTTAGATATAGGTGTCCTATAGGCAATAATTATATATTGTAATAGGACCTATATGAATATAACACCCTTGTTCAAAATAGTATGCTATTTTGATCAGATTTATCTGGTATTTTAATACAGATAAAGTCCTTAGAATGATACTAGACTATTATACATTCCGAATATGATCGTAATGAAGAGATCCGATTTGTCGCTAACGTATATTCTAAAATGTTCCTACTCGATGAAGTGTAGAAATGAGATATCATCACTTTGGGAAGACTAGTGTATACTATATTTCTCCTTTGGTAGGATGATGATTCATCTCTTGGATCATTGATATGAGACATTAAGATATAGTATATAGGTGACTCATTATTGAATGAGTTGACTGAACAACTCACTGAGGACGTCTAGTTTGTAATTATACTTAACTGTCAAATCGAAGTTCTAAAGTGATATAGTACAAAGTAGTCTCTTGACCTGAGGCATGAGTGTAATATCTTATATGTCAGTATATACGTTCTTAGATTTTTACCTAATCACAGTTCTCATTGAGTTGTGCATAACGGTTCTTATTGGGTGCATCCCGAGACATAAGTAGATATTGAGATGCCAAGATGAGATTCGTCTCTCCCACTATAAGGGGTTGATGTCATAAGATTGTTTGATATAACTATAGCCTGGAAATGCTTGGCCAAGGTAAATAAGATAAACGAAGTGTCAGTTTGATCTTAAAGGTTAAAAGTTTAATATCAACAAACACTAATCAAGCTATTAGGGTTTGACAGTTTTCCATACCCTAGGTTCTATAGTTTGACATGGTTTGACAAAGAAACCAGACTGTACAGTATTATCACTGAGTGGTCCTGATAAATTTGGGTAAACATCTTGCAGACCTTTATCATAACTTATACTCAGGTAGTCTTCATGTGTAGCTAGCACATCTGTTGTATTTGTGGATATGATCCACTACCGAGTCTTAAGTTAGGCCCTAGAGTCACACCAAGCGTACTTGAATCCTATAAAATATAATTTATAGAGTTAATGCATATGATTGATACGCATATATGATTTTCACCGGATACACATAAACGATTATATGTATTGGTAAAAAACAGAATGCTATGTGCTTAAGAAATAAATTTCAGTATTTTTCCCATAAAGTTAACTTTTAGTCAACTGGTTGACTTTTTGGTCAACAGTTGACTTTTGGTTAACTCATTGATTTTTTGGTCATATGATGACTTATTAGTTAATGATTGAAAAAATTACGTAATACCGTATTTATAAAACACCGTATTGATGTGATATTTTTATTTTTAAAATACACACTTTATTATACCTTGATTAATGAGTCATAAGATGAGTTATTAATGTGGTATGGTTTGGACACATGGTTTTAGCACATAGTTTTGATTCTTCATGACTCTTTGCATGACTCATGAGATTAGTCATTGCATGACTCATGAAAGGAATCATTGCATTTAGATGACTCATGGCATGACTCATGAGATGAGTCATGACATATCTCACTCTATATAGGAGCTCTTCAATTTTATCAAGATCATTTGAAAACTTGGAGATCCACTACAAGGTGGTTTACAACAACAAGGAGAAAGAGCTAGGGGTTGTTCGATCTACCATCGAATCACGCTACGAAAGTAAGCATTCAAAGCTCTTGATTGCTCTCTTTTTTATAGCAATCATGTTAGATTTAATAAAGATGGTTCTACCTTGTTTTCATATTCTATACATGCTTAGTATTATTATACATATAGTCTTTCGTTGTGTATTTTGCATATATTTAGCACGAATTTCCAACAAACATAACCACAAAAATGTTTAAGTTATTAGGTACCCCTTGACTTAGATGCAACCATGACCACGAGATCCAACAATCTCATCATTATAAAAGCGAAACATAAATTACGCTATCGCCTATTGCAATAAACTATAGCATTGGTCAGTGTTGATTCTTTGCTCAATGTTTAAACGATAAGATAGATAACAGGGGTTGCATTTCATTGGCTCAAATTTCGATGCGTACGTAGCAAATACTTAAAGAAACTAAGCAAAATTTTGATGGCTTTTTCTTAAGAACATTAATACTTAAAATTCTCAGCAATACGCTAACCTCACATGACATTGATAATGCGGAAATACTCCATTTAAAATTATTAGTCAC